CCTACGGTCATGAAACATTGATTGAGCAATCTCAAGATATGAAACCAGATTTAGAAAAATGGAGAAGCAACGGAAAATAGAGCTTTCAATTTGAACAACCAAGAGTGATTGACCTTCTACCTTGTGCTTTAAGAAATCTATTATTTTCTACATTTGTTCTTGTTCTCTTTCATTGTAATAAGTGTGAAAGGGATTGGGGGAACTTTGTTAGATCTAGTAATCCATTCTTGAGGTATAGGAAGGGTTGGGAGATTTGTAACAAGGGGATAAACAATTTAATAACAACCATAAGTTATTAGAAAAGTGATTAAGTAACCTTATTAGATCTAGAGAAACCCATCCTTATGGTATAGGATTGGGTTTGTGAGAAATTGTAATAAGGGGTTGAATTGTTGAAGGTGAATAGTGTTGACAAAACTATTGCAAATAGTTGTCTCTACACCCGAAAGTTAGAGGAGAGATTTTGAATCCAAAACTAACTCTCAAGCAGGCGGCTTAAGGAGTGGAATTAGACATAAATTGTGATCGAACTACTATAAATCCTTATATTTGAGTTTTTTTTTACCTTAACTTTTAATTTCTGCACTTTAAATTAATTGTTTGTAATTACTTGTAAGTGCTCGTTGTTTTGTACTTAAAAGTTGTATAAAGTTTTTTGAAAACCCAATTCACCCCTATCTTAGGTTGCCATCATTTGGACCAACATTATCATCTAATTAATCTTTAAATTAAAAAAATAATATTTTGATTAAAAATCTACTTACCTTACCAGTGTTATCATCTAGTTAATTCTTAAATACAAAAAAGTTAAAATTTAATTTTTTAAATAATAAATAAATAAATAAATTTAAATATTGACAAGATTAATATCTTTATATAAAAAAAAAGTGTAAACTTAGTACTTTTAGCTACATCTTTTCTTGAAAAGTTTTGACTTGCTATGTGCTAGCTTATTGTATTAAATACATAGAGTTCTTTTTTTTTAAGAAAAAATGTAAAATGTGGTTTTATATTATTTGATTTTGTTACCAATGATTTTTAGTAGTTTAAAGGTAAATTTTTTTTAATAAAAATAAAATATTTTAAGTTTAAATTGCATCACACAAGTGAGTTAAATTACGAGATAACCAAAAATTATTTTTTTATTGTATAATTTAAAATCAAAATAAAAAAATTATTTTGTTTTATTTTATTTTATTTCAAGCTTTCCTATCGTAACAATGACTTTTCCTAGAAACGCAAGACTAGAGAGGGAAGGCTAAAGGGGAGACAAGTAGAAGGAGGAAGTACTGAGAAGAGAAGCAAGCCACTTTAGAAAATATTCTCAATTATTCTATCATCAAAACTTTATGTCAAAGGGCTAAAACAACATAAATCTATTGGGTTACATCAAGAAAATAGTAAAGTGAAACAAATCAATATCTGTAAATAATGTCATAGAAACCATTCACCAAAAATCCCCACAAGAACAGGCTCCATCTTTGAAATGATGGAATCAATTTGTATCTCTGACAAATATTTCTCTTCCTCCAATCCTAGATATAAATTTCATGAAAGCATGGCAGTCATGACAGATTCTGAGGTTCTTAATAACTTGAAGTGGTGTGCCAGGGGGTGTGTTAAGAAGCCCTAATGCTACTGCCAGCTTCTCACTGTGTTCGCCCAACATCTGCTCCTCCACATCTTGCAACACAAAATCAGTCTCAGGACGGTAACCTGCTTTCTTCATCTCCACGCTCAATTCATTTAACTTATCAAGTATTGGCGGCATTTCTCCATGTGATTTGTCTCCTGCAAGAAGCATGTGCACTTTGTTCTTGACCTCAATCCAACTGCAGGCAGGGTTCTTCTTCAAGCCTCTGCTAATCATGATATCCCGCACCACATTTACTTCTGACCACATAGCCTTAGATGCATATATATTGGAAAGAAGGACGTAATTTCCAGGATTTTCTGGTTCTAACTCGAAGAGTTTCTTTGCAGCAATCTCACCTAAACGGACATTATTGATAAGTCTACAAGAACCAAGCAAAGCTCCCCAAACACAAGCATCGGTTCCAAATGGCATTTGATTGATCAAAGCATATGCCTGTTCCAGCTTTCCAGCATGACCAAGAAGGTTTACCATAGAGGCATAGTGCTCCATTTTTGCTTCAATTCTATGCTCTTTGGTCATGCTATTAAAATAAGACCAACCTTCTTCCACTAGGCCACCCTAGCTGCATGCAGATAACATACAACAGAAGCTGATAAGATCAGGCTTATGCCCTGCCCTTTGCATCAAATCAAAAATCCCCTTCGCTTCCTTAGTCTTGCCATGCATTGCATATCCTCCCATTATTGCACTCCAACAGACCAAGTTTTTAGTTGGCATCTTATCAAAACAAAGCCGAGACATGTGGATTCTTCCACATTTGGCATTCATGTCAATTAATGCACTACCAAAATAAAAATCATCAGCAATTCCTGTTCCAAGGGCAAAGCGTTGGGCTGCCTTTCCACAATAGTTCCACATGCTGGTAACAAGCAAGGTATTGTTACAGAGTTTGGCTTTAGCTCTGCACTCTGCATCTCTCTCGAAAAGCTGGAGTGCCTGAATATCTCTTCCATTCTGTGTGCAACCAGCAATAATTGATGACCAGGTCACAACTTTCAATTCCGTTCCTTGGTCCCTATACTGCTCAAACGCCTTCAATGCATTATAAATAAGTCCATTTCGAGACAGACCAGTTGTTACAGCATTGCAAGCACCTATATCCTTTTCATCAATTTCATCAAAAGCCCTTGTCAACTCCAATGTACAAGCACATTTTCCATACATATCTACTTGTGCAGAACGAACATACCTCTTCTGCCCAAGACCTTGTTTGATCAAACAACAATGCAGTTGAACCCCTATTTTTAATTCTTTCAAGTCACCCACTGCTGAAAGTACACTGGAAAATGTAGTATCATCAGGATGATACCCTTCTGGATGCATTCGTTGGAGCATAACAACCGCCTCATTATAATCTCTGTTGTGATTGAACCCGGAAATCACACCATTCCCAGTTACAATATTGGGTTCCACACCGAAATCTGTCATTTCATTAAAAAGCTTCATCGTCACATCAACACGCCCTTTCCGTGCATAAGCAGAAAGCAAAGCGCTCCAAGAAACCACATCACGTTGAGGCAATCTATCAAACAATTTATGGGCAACCCTTATTTCATCACATTTTTCATACATGTTAACTAAAGATGCCCCAACGCAATAATCTGAATCCAACCCAGATGTAAAAGCAATGCCGTGAGCCTGTTTGCCTGCTTCTAACCCGATAACCGGCCGCAAGCCTTGATGACACTGGGAATAATGCGACTATCGGGCAAGACACCATAAGAGAGCATCTGAGAGAATACATTAAGTGACACAGCCAAAAGATTAGACCTCGTGAGTGCATATATGAGGGCGGAGAAGGAGAAGAATGAAGGCTCCGGGATTGAGTGAAGGACGAGCTGCGCTTCCGGGAAGCATTGATGATTGACATAGAGAGAGAGATCAATTTTGAGGACAATGCAATGTCGTCGATGATTCCTGCTTTGAGGATGTGGGCATGGGCTTAGCGTACATACGATAAAGACGATTTTGCTGAATGCTGAAGTTCAGCAGCGAGAGACTCCCCGGTGAAGATTATCAAAGAGAGGCAGAACTTGCCTTGACATGCTCCTCTCCGCCCTCCCCCGGCTACCGGCAAGTTACCGCCCAAATTTAATTGGACTTGACTTAGAGATGGGTCGGGCTCCTTATTTGAATTATTTTTCCCGTTAAAACCCAAGTTGTGTTCAAATACGGGCCCAATATGGAATGGGGCTGAATTTGTTCCCTCGGATTAAAAGTCTTTTTTTTTTTCTTTTTCCATGCCAATTGGTTATTTGGGCATAAGTATCTGTTTTACTTTTCTAGTCTGGCGTCACGTTACTTGTCAGTACGGAGGGTAAAGTATGTATCATTAGATAAATGGTGGATTTCAATTTTAAAGTTATAATTTTACTCAATAACAAATATTATATTATTTAATATAATTTAAATTACATAATATTTTTTTCTTTTTGTATCAATCCTATGTCATTTTTTTTCAATAAAACCGTTTCACTTGTCTTTTCTATCACAAGAGAAGACGAAAAAATCTACAAAAAAAAAAAAGATGAACCACAAAGCATTATTTTCTTGTGGCTATTTGGACCATTATTTTGGTAAAATTATATTTATAGTACCAATTACTTTTTCTACATGATTCCCACACTCCAACGTAATAGTTTAGATTCTAGATTAATGGAGATTACCTCTCATAAATTGTGTTTTTAAGTTTTATGAATCTTTTTTTTTTTAATCTCTATTTATTTAAATAAATAATAATTTGTGTAAGTGAAATTAATTGTAATTTTTTCATATTTTTAGAGAAATAAATATTTTTTTTATAATTTAACCTTATTAGTTATTGTTATCCAATCAATTTAATTATCCATCATATCAATAAAAAATTTCTCTTTACATTTATGTTTTTATTAAAAATATATAAATAAAAACATATGTTCCCTCTAAATTTTTAATAAAAAATAAAAAATTATTATTATTATGGGATGGAAAGAATAATTAACTTAAAATAGGTAAACTTTTTAAACTTTTTCAGTTAGTACTAATAGGAGTAGTAATTAAATTTTTAATGGGGTAGTTAAATAGATTAAGATTTTAAGTTAAAGATATGATATTTGAATGAGTTTTCGGTGGAGAAGACCATCCCTTATTACATAACATATTTAATAATGTAAAAAATAATAATACTCTTTGTTTATTTTTAATAGATTTAATTTGCTTTTTTTGACTTTTTAAATAAAAATTTTAAATAAAAATTTAACAATTTATATGAACAATAATTGAAATTTTTTTTCTTTTTATATAATTTTTTTGTTGAGTACTTTTATTTGATAAAAAAATTAATTATTATTTATATAATATATTAAATTTTCATTTAAAATTTATGTTTAAAAAATTAAAAAAAATCAAATTAAATTTACTAAAAATTAACCGAGTAGTATGTTGTTGTACTTATGATTTTGATGATTATAAAACACATTAGAATAACTAATTTTTTAATTTAAGTGTGTAGTTGAACTTTCAAAAAATTACAAAATTAAGTGAATTAGATTTGTCTTAAAAATAGGACTCAAAAGGCTAAAAATTGTGTAGAGAGCCCGCTTTCGAGATCTATAGCTGACTCTGGTGAAGGCAAGTACAGAGAGTCGACTCTAACAACTGCAGTCGGTTTTACGGGTGAAAATTTAAGTGCATAGTTTAGCGCGTATGGAAAACGAACATAAAGCAAGCTTTAACTTTGTAGCCAACCATGAAGGCGCATTTAATATACAACAGTCAAGTTATTTAAAGATTCTTTTATATTTTTAAAGTCAAATTTCCAAAGCTAGCTTTACGTTTTTGACGTCAACTCTTGAGAAAAACAAAATGTACAGAAATGACATAAAGCTGGCTCTTGAATTCAAAACCAACTATGAAAAGCTGGCTCTATAGTTAAAGTTGGCTCTATTGACAAATTTACAACTTGAAGTTACTCAATTTGCAAAGCATTTAATGATCCTCAATTGCTAGAAACGACTATTTTCGGCCAATAGGCTATAAATATGGTTGATAACAGATTTGGAATAAGTTTTTGAGCAGTGTATTGAATATTTTTACCTACTAACTTGTGCTTTAACTTGAGTTTGTGATCTTTGAGTGATCTTTGCTTATAATCCTCTTTTTGTTCTATTTGTGTGTTATCTTGGAAGTGTGATTATTTTTTCAAGAGTGATTTGTAGAGAGGATTCTTGGGATTTATCTTGTAAATGAGTGAGATTTGAAAAAAATATCCTTTTTCTTCTAAAACGATAGAGTGGCTCATTTAAGCCACTATTGTTTTTTTTAGTGGAAAGTGTAGAAGAAATTTTTAGTGAGTGAATCTAAGATAGAAAACTATACTCCAAGTAGTTGGATTGAATTTCTATAAAATTATTATACAAACTCTTCATCCCTACTTTCTTTTTAATTTTTATTTGGTGATTACAATAAATCTATCTTATACGGTAACGATATTTAATTATAAAGATTCATTGGCTAGCTGACCCTGTTAGTCCGTTCCTTGCAAGCATAATCCTTTTGCTTTTTTATTTCAATAGGATTCTCCCCGCTTAATGGATAAGCATTTGCTACCAATGGGGAAGTTGTTCTCATCTTAAATTCATGATTGGATTTGCACCAACGGAAACCATAAAAATTATACACAATAGAAATATATGGTGGATCTACCCCTTGATTTTAGTTAGTGCAGGGAAGAACCCCATTCTATAGTATTGATCATGAATATTGAAAAAAGAAACTTTTTTCTCAGCCCATGATTTGAACGAGTCGCACATACACCCTTGTACATGTTCCTCGACGTTGAGGATATCCCCTAAGAGCAGGGGATTTCGTGACATTTCTGATTGGCTGTCTTGCGTTTCTAATAAGTTGTTTAATTGTTGGCATGTTGAATCATATACATAAGAGTTCGGTTTAGATCAATCCTAACCGAATCACTTTTTTTTCTATCTTCTAATATTTTTTATTTAATCCCCTTACTCTCTTATTAAGAAGGAATAAGGGGATTAAATAAAAAAACTAAATCTTCAATTTGGACCTTCGTGAAATATTGATTGCTTCTTGAACCCTGTGAATTGTGTGAAAGTAGGATACTCCAAATTCGGGGGTCGAAGAGTTTTATAAAACGTTCTTGTTGGAAAAAAATGTGAATGAAAGATCCCACTGAATTGACTTGGGTCCACGAGTAGTGAGAATCCTTGATCTCTCTCAATATCTCTCTCAATTCGAAAATCCAAGATTTGAATGGATGTCCATTCAGAATCATAATCCCTCCTGCATTCTACGTGACCCATCTTTAATTAATAATTTTGGAAATCCCATATAAATTATAATCTCAATTAGATCAATTCTTTCTTTAATTTCTATAGGTGCGAAAATTTTTCAGCTCCAACTCACTCTTTGAAACAACATATGTAACAAGCCATTAAAATTAAGGTCTTTTTTTAAAAGCAATTAAATGTTAAAAATGCAATAATTATTCAATTACTGTAGTATTTAAGTACTAGTAAATCAATATTTAGGCCACAGATTAAATAAACGGCTGTATTAAAAGCAGATACTTTCATCAGTCAACTGATATTATTAAATGGGATCAAACTTAAGTTTAAGTTCATTAAAAAAAAAAAATTTTCCAAAAAGGGCAAAAAAAGAACCTTTTTTATAATTAATTTTTGTTAAAAAAGTATAAATGTTAATTTTAATTTAATTAATTAATCAAATAAAATTATTCATTTATCAGTGTTATTAGAATATATTTTAATTTTTAAAATTTTTAATGTAAATTAATTAT